AAAACCAAGTGGCTGTTCGCATCATCATATGAAAAGGTCACGCCGTACGAGGCTAGGCGGTTGCGCAAAACGGAAAACCGACCGAGGTACTCCTGAGGAGACTCTCCATTTTTCATCCTAATGCCGTGATGTTCTGATGAAAGGCGTGTTTTTCTTCACGAGCATGGGGCTTGTAGTGCTCAAGGAAATTTTTTCCACCCTCTACTCGGGCTACCATGTGAGATGATCTGCGTCAAGATTGGCAGGTAAGTCACTGTTGTGACTAGCAACTTCCACGCCACTATCGCCTTGTTCACCTTTTGTTCCCCGTACCTATTCTTCAGGTCAGCCATGTCTACTCCATCGTTACCAACATGAATGTCCTCATCACTCATCATGACCTCATAAACACCTTCCTGTACAAATATCGCAGGCATGTTTGACTTGAAAATCAAGAGTTTGGCCTGCTCTTCCTCCCCTGACTTGAAATTGCCGTCCCAAGGCTCTAGCCTCCTAGTCTCAGTCATGCGCAAAGTCCTTACTTGCGGTACTCTACCGAAATCCCCGGATGTGGTCTGGGACGGCCAGTCACGGCGTTGGCGATCGCGTTGGCGATGTTTTCGGCGGAGGGGTTGGCCGATGGACTCCCCGCGTGTTGCGGTAGATGTGCCCCTTGTTGCTCGTTCCCGTCCCGGATGTCATCTGTGCGTCGCTGCTCGTCTTGTTGTCGTACCTCCATCTCGGCCAGCCTGGCTGCTAGCCTCTGGTTCACCATCTCCTCTATCCGAGCCTCCTCAGCTGCTTCTTGCTCTGCTCGGCGGGCGACGTCGCTCTCGCGCTCGTGTTCGGACATCTTGATTCTGCTCCTGATCGCCGCAAAGCGATCTTCCTAAACTAAGCTCGCCCGCGAATCTCATAGACGACGTGTCATACGCTAGCGTGATCGATAATTCAGGTGGCTCAGTTCTGTGGGTTGGGAGTGTAGAGCAGCTCGGCCATGACGGGCCGTAGATGGGTAGAAAACGTGGTGCAAAAATTTATTGTATTCTTCGGGGGCGTGCTCGCGCTCGTTAATCTGTCACGGCATCAAGCACTCGTCACGCTCATCACGCTAAAATTACCAAACGGACCTCTCTGAACCTCCATCAAACTGTTCCCATTTCCAAGGAAAATACGCAGAAAGTTCTGATTCCTNAACGTGGTGCAAAAATTTATTGTATTCTTCGGGGGCGTGCTCGCGCTCGTTAATCTGTCACGGCATCAAGCACTCGTCACGCTCATCACGCTAAAATTACCAAACGGACCTCTCTGAACCTCCATCAAACTGTTCCCATTTCCAAGGAAAATACGCAGAAAGTTCTGATTCCTCCGCATCTCATCACTGCAAATTCCATACGTACGTACTGAAGATCGTACCCGTCATACTATGCTACGAGTACCCCCAATATATCTAATAAGCGCGTGCAGATTTCTTGTGAAGAAACAAAACATTTTCCATTGGAAATTCAGTGCTATTCTTGTCTGACGAAACATACAATTTTACCCAAACATATGTAGGTCGAACACCGACCCTTTAGCTTTGTTCGACAAACAAGCTGCCTGCCGCAGGCGATGCCTGTTCGTTCCCAGCGTCTTTAGATACTTGGAGGGGGGAAATCAGCCTCTCCTGGTGGAAAGCTGTACTAGCATCCAACTCTACACTGGGAACACATGGCAAAGTCCTTGTTCAGCAGTGGTCCGAGGCGCTACGGAAGCAGTAAATAGTAGCGGTGGTCAAGAACTCCCATCTTCCTGTTTCGCCATGGTCTCGTGCTGTCGACGAAGTCTGGGATCGAAGTTGCAGTGCATCTCTTGAACTAATTTCTATTCTCTTCCGGTCTGCCTCGTTCCCATGTGTGCCACAGGTGGAGATATACCTACCACTCTATCACGCACTCCACTCATGACCATCCCAACCACATGTGCCGCCAGCACCGGCCTACCAGCTTTCCGCTACGCTGCCTCCACCGGCGTCAACGGTCGCCTATGTAAGTTGTTGGAGAGTATCACGACTCACCAACCTCCATCGGAACGGCCCCAAATTCCCCGTTGCGAACACTAGGGCAATGCCTGTGAGGCTACTCGTTTTTCGTGCAAGTCTATTTTGTCTCGGTACATTATTCACGATACACGATGAATTACGCCAGCCCATAGTCTAGCTAACCCCGTGCAATACCGCCGCAATATTCTGCTCTCCGTCAAATGGTTTTAAAACACAGACGCCGAGGGAGAAGGGTGCCTCACAATCACCGACCGCTGCATTTCCGCCTTCAGTCTGACGGCAGTGCAAAGGGGCCCATCTACAACCTCGACGACAGCTACAAATCTGTGCTTAACCCCAAGGTCTTGTCAAACAAGTGGCTTCTTACCGCCGAGGTCATGTGTGCAATATCCAGCGATTGGCGACCAGAGTATTACCTATGTACATGGTCATCGAAATCTTGATTTCGCTCCTACCTTCCACCCAACCCTTTGTTCGTGTGTGCGCAATTTTGAGGTGCGCACTCATGGCTTTGAAAGCACAATCGTCACGTCTTAGGACACGCCCAACAAGACGCCACAGGCGACTTGTGAGGGCGGGCCGTCCTTCCTGAGCTGTGTGTCGGAGAAGCTGACCGGCGAGGTATGGGTAGGCCAGGCCCAGAATGAAATGAGAGAGTGCCGCATGGACATCATACTCTCGGAGCTCGGCTATTTGGGATATTTCGACTCGGAGCCATGCGGCCTCACCTGGAAAGTGCGCAGTGGGGCAAAACCGTTGCCCACCTCTTTTCCCCTCGCAATGTAAAAAGCTTGACTCCACCCGTTGCCTACCGCTGGACGACGCACTCGAGTGGTGTGGAGACCCGCCCCCCCTCCGATTAGCGCATGTTTTTCTTGTTAAAGGCGTTCCAAGAGTCGTTCACGTTCCAATCTGGATGCCTCATGCATCCTTGGGCATGAACCCCATACTGTAATACTTCTGTAGTTTTGGTCTTCTCTCGGCGGGGGTCCACGAAACGGCGAGGTCTGGGTTTTGCGCCTCTTCGTTTAGGCCTGTGTTTCAGGTTGAGGGAACGCCAACCGTGTGCTTCCCTGAACAATATTCATGGCTCTAGGCAGGTTCGCGGGTTCTGCAAGGATCTCTCAAACAGGGACGTTTCCGACAAAAAGAACGTGTCAGGAAATTTGATACTCCGACATCCACCACAACTACTACGGTCAGTACTCATACGGGCACCAGGGTGGGGTGTGGCACAAGAACCAGATGCACGACATCCACCAGTATGGTGAGTGGATTGCCTGCATCCTCGACTGGGCCTTATCGGTCTCAGCGATCCTTCTGGTCTTCGGATCTACAGAACGATATCATGTGTGGAGGAGACGTTTGTGCCCAGAATGCCCTTGACTGTTGCCACATTGTTTTGGTGTTCTTTAGTGTGTGGTATCCACGCGCGAATCTTGCTCCTAAATGCTCCTCTCCTCGACTTCGTTCTTCCGCCTATTTGCACCGTGGTCGCTCTCACCCTCGCAACACGATCAGACTTCCACCCGCACGATGACTCCGACTTCCTCACGAGTAAGTGGTGTTCAAGACGAAAACCTTCACTTCGTATTGGGGTGTGATGCGGGAGTTGAGGGATTTCACCACACATCGAATCCTTGCGAAATGATGACCCAGATTTCACTTATCGACTTCTAGGCTTGTGCAATTGGCACAGCTTCTACATAGTAAGGCACGGAATTTTGGCGCAATGATACTAAATTCTAGGCGCGCGTTTTTCTTGATAGATTTTAGCGAGATTTCCGCACCATTTCATGTCGCATATTCATTTGTACGCGTGGTGAGTGCCACGCTCGAACAGATAACTCACATCGGTATATTCTCCCCCCTCTCGCGCCGGCTGTTCCCTCTTACCACAATAGTCTCCCACAGTATGGTGTACAACAGTGAGCACCAAGAGACGAATTGAGTGTAGGTAAACTCAAGAGATGGGTTTGTGAAGGAGTTCTGACGACAACAAGCAGGAAATAACATTCTACTGGTGACAGTCGAGGAATCAGACGCCTCACAAAATGGGGCCTTCGCGCTCAACCTTTTTTCGAAACCCAGCAATTCGTTCGTTAATCTTTATTCGAAACGCGGGTCAGGTTCAATCCCCCCGGAGCGTTCATCGTGTTCGGAATTCTTAGGGGAAGAGTGAATCAACGCGGTTAGGGAGGAAAGGGACTACATACCCTATGTCCCGTGCTTACTTTCCACCTTTGTACCCACGGCGTCAATCCCCGTTCAAAAGGAGTACACCGGCGCGCCTGGAGTACATAGACGGGGAGAATCAAACCGTACGCACACACTTTCATCCGGCTCCTGAGTCTAGCTGCGCACCCCTAGTTTGTGATTGGGTAGTCAGCAACATTTTGGCCCTTCGCCGTGCCCACTTTTGGTACTCACCGGCGTGAGCCTTAGTGCTGCGACAATATGGTCACGTCGCTACAGGTATCATCGCTTCGAAACGCTGCAACAACGTCCAGATCTACAACAACGAAGTTTACGATGGTGGTCCTTTCGCTGTCGGGATTTTCCTCCACCGCAGCTCGGACTATGCCATCGTTCATGGTGAGGAAGTCTCTCTTCCCCTGACCGATCCTTACTAAAACAACAGAGCGCAAGCCTTGTACAGTATCAGTGTTAACATGCGATCCCAATGCCGAGTGAACCTTCAATCACTCGGCTGAGGGGCACCACTCGTAACAATTGTACTGGAAGCATGTTGACACACAGCCACATGCCCAGGGAATCATTCCCTGGGTACGTACATCCTACCGCAGTCAACAACAGCAGTAGACTCGACCGGAGGTTACCTTCGACAAAACAGGATGTATAGTCCTGCTGTAGACCCCGTGGCGTTCATGTACTCTCACTCTCGTCCACCACGCCAACAAGCACGTTGTTTTTATTTTGCTTAGTGACGGTTTTTTGGCAGATACACGTGGTCCACAACATGCAGGACACAGGCATGGCTCTGCTGGAATCGATAAACGCGGACATCTACAATAACGAGTTCTCCAGTGTTAAGTTCGGCATCCGCTTGAGCTTGGGCTCATCCGATAACCACGTGCACGAGAACCTCTTCGAAGAGGTATCGACACGTGAGCGCAAATATCGCTTCGCCATTGTAGGGCTGATTGGCCCACCGCAAGGTTTAGTTGGTCATTGACACGGTACAGGACAGATGTACAACAATGATCGAGGAGCACCCGAAATCTCCATGCCCAAATTCCCTAGCGCAGCACCGATTACTTTCGCTTGTTGAGCTATTTTTCTTGGAAGTTGAATGTCAAGTGCAGCAGCAGATGGCATGTTTTGATATGCATGGGACTTAGGGCAAGTCCGAATTACCACTGCATGTTCGCATTTCTTTTCAATCCCTTCGACACACACCTCGGCCGACCTTGCCACGACCTTCTCGCGTTCATTCTTCTTGCTGTCTCGCTGCGTTGGATTGTGTCTTGCTTGAGTTAAAGCGCCAGAACACGTACCAGGGGTCCGACGAACCGACCGACGGGGTCAGCGACGGCCACCCCAGCGATAACTTGTTCGGGAACAAGAGGATCTTGAACGCAGCCAAAGGCGTTAAGATCAAGGAGGGGGACGACGCAGTGATCACCGGTGAGAATGAGTAGCTTGACTAATACGACTGAAAACTCTTAACATGCACTTTCCACGCATGGGACGCAAGCATCGCCGTACTGCTGGAACAGTGAATAAAGTGGTGTAACCATTTCTTTTTTTCTCCCCTGCCTGTCCATCTGCCGATGAATGTTCTGCATGAATGAACCCGTGAAGATAACGTGTGCACTGGTACGTCGGAGCTGGAATTCTTCGACGCTCGGAACACCCGAGGGAATGGAAATACCCTTCCCCAAGAAGTCTGCATCGAGAATATCCACTCCGACGACGGAATCGACATTGAACTGAGCACGTTCGGTCGGCGCACTGCCGGTCTTCCTACCTTGGAGTGCTAAGGTGTAGCCTACAGAGCCAGGGTGCGCCAATCGCTTAGTAATGGCCGCAGGGCCTCTGCAAGAGAACCCTGAACACGTGAAGCATCCATACACTTGCGTGATATGGCTCCGAGTCAATTTCTCGCTCTGTGTACTATTGCAAGCCTGGCGCGGCGGGTAGGATGCTTTGGTACCTGTTGCTTTTAGTCCGCCACGACAGCAACCGCCACAAAAGGTGTGTGTGCGATTAGATTAATATATGGTCGAAATATTGAGGTCCCATCCAACAAGCACTATCTTGCTTTTGCTCCCACCAGAATAAGATTGGAAAATCTGCTTTTCCTCCCATTTTCACTCCCCATATTGCATTATCCCTGACTTTTTGAAATAGTCACATCGGGACATGGGCGTGGAAAAGTGGAAATATTGTTCGATTTTGTGCTCAAACAGGGTTTCAACCCGACATCCTTCACGGAGACGTGGACGCGATTGGTTGCGTGATGGCATTGAGAGCGCTTCTTTCGAAGCGAAAGTGTGTGCTGGTTCTTGTTAAGATTTAAAGTATTGCTATTCGAACTATTAGAATGTGCTTCGGCCGATCGTTGACTTGAAAGGCAGTCTGACTTCGGTGCATGCCATGAAGCAAGGGTTTGTCGAGATCCATGGCGATTTTTAACGTGTGTGGGTGTAAAGAGCTTGCGCTCTGAGAATACTCTGCCAAAACTCGACAAACGACGGAAAACAAGTGCTGTTGTGTGCTTGTGTAAGTAACTTCAGCTTGCTTGTCTTCCAAATCGGAACGTATTCGCAGGATAGGCAATCGGCGCGGCGGACAACACTACACTAAGAAGGGTTCACTAAGAGCGTCCGCTTCTTTTCCTCTCGGTTTGGGCATTTTCGTTCCTCTGCGCCCTCGTGTCGAGCCCGAAACGCTGTCGTCATGTTTTTCTCCCCCTAGCTCCCCCCCGGTGTTTACCATCGGGGTTGTGTTTTCGTCGCTTGGCAACGACGTTGTAAAACAAGCCGCCCCTCCCGGTGTTTTGCCATCGGGGTTGGGTTTTCGTCGCTTGGCAACAACGTCGTAAAACAAGCCAATTCACTTCGTGAACCCAGCAACCAGGCTACCGTTTGTATTTTTTACCTGTTTTTTTTTTTGGCGGTAACTATAATGGTGGCCGAGTAGTCATGGTGTGCCGGGTGGAGAAGCCTCACTCCGCGCAAGGGGGATGATCGCACCACATCGTGTTCAAGCGGTCAAGCACCCTCGAGGCAGTTACCCAGTGCTTACAACTGACTCTGGATGTGAAAGCACTGGAAAATGAATCAAGTCATTCGCAGCTGTCATCCGTACGCAAGGAAGTAAGCACAAGATGCCGAACACCCGTAGCAGGATGCAGCGCACCCTTCATGCGACTCGCGGAATATCTCACAGCGTTTCGCGTTTGGTGATGTGGGAGCCTGGTCCAGTGAGAAACCCGGCGTGCTTCGTCCCGGCTTTGTAGGGATGTAAGGTCAATGGTCTAACAACTACGGCATGCACGACTATGAGTACACCGTCCCCTCACCCCTATTCCAAAAACGAACCGTGTTCAGTTCTATCCGAAGATGAGAGGATAACTTTCGAATAATTCATTAGTGTTATTTGGTTAGAAACCTCCATTTCTATCATTCTACCAGTAGCATATCTCCCTCCTGTGGGTTACAGCAGTCTCGAACGAGACCGGCAGTAGGGTGGCAATCTTGTGTCCCGGCGTACCATTTGTGCGCTGTGGGATAGGTCTTAGTAGCGCACGGGCTAACTGGGTCATTTCGGCAGATAGGGTAATCGTATGGACAAGCCGGCGGGGCGGATGGGGGGATGGGCTGTTAAGAGGTGCTTGTTGCAATTTCGACGACTTATCACTCCGGCCCAATTTTGAGGTATGTTTTGACTCGTGGGTTAGGGTTAGTCGTGTTCTGTTTCGGAGGTATTCCACCCAACTATCGTTTGTCCGTTTTTCCCATGATTTCTGGGCTTCAATCCACAATGTTCTTGTAATACCGGGTCTTGTCATAATGTGCGGTCGTAGTTGTTGAAGTAGTCGTTCTCAAGTTCATATTCACACAGCGTTGACAAGATTCCCCTCAAAGATTCATTTCACACACCGCGTGCGATGAAGCCGATGTATGGGTCATCTTGAACCATGAACAGCAGACACACCAACATGTCGTTTGTACGGCAGCAACAGAATCATGTAACCACGAGCACAACACCAACGCACAGACACACACACATCCACTCGCGAAAGATGGTGCAGCGAAACAAGTCCGACAGAGGCCTTGGTTTGGTGGCAGGAATAATGAACAACGTAAGTGGCCTGCGGGGGATTTACCATTTCGACTGCCAGCTTTCATTGACAGGTACACGAAGTATTAATAACTCAAGCGCTTGGTTGTGTTCGTGGTTTCTTACGCCGCTTCGCAATCGTGCTTCACAGTTGGTTGAGTGTATTGGGCATTCGCAACCTGATGCGTGGGTTTTCGCGCCTTGGTTGACCCTACAGAATATTGCCTACAAGTTGCTATTCAAGCCACCTGCCTAATCTGTTCCGCCACCTCGACCATTCCTACGCTTACGTACCCTCTGCTTGCTTAACGCGGCTTCCTTCACCCTACGACGACAAAAAGACATCACTCGCATACTACTACCTCGTCGTGGCGAGGGAGGTGGTCAACGTTGAGTTAGTTCTAAGCGGCAAGGAAGCAGCGAAACATTTTCCAGTCGACCCTTGGCGTCCTAAACAACACCTGTGTGCACGACGTGTGACGCAAAACAAATTTCAGGGTATGGCTTGCGGCACCGCCCAGCCACTCATTCTAGACCAGGCAGCTTCGGTGAAAATATTGATCATTAAAGCCCTGCAGACTCTACCGGTGTCAAGCTATGAACAGAAAGTTGAAGGAGCTTGGGGGGAGCGATACGTACATTTTGTCCCTCTGCCGACCGTACGGTGTCAACAACTCTGCCAAGGGCTTCCAACCGCACGTTTGCTTGTACAATACGGTTCGGTGTTGCCGCGTTGCTCTTTCGGCCAATCGCGCAACGTACTGACAACTCCGCCGGCTTCCCCGCATCCACTATTTTCGGCGCCTCGAGGAGAATTCCACCATCCAGCTCCAAAGAGGCATGCGAGTCATCGTCTTCACTTGCCGCACCTGAGCAGCGGCACCTACGCAGATGTGTCGGAGGCAGCGCTTTCTCTTTCCACGACAAACCACCGTCCGCACCGCCACCACCGTCATCGAGGACCATCTCGTGGCCACGCCAAAGGCCAAGCCAGCTCGGTCGATCAATAGACCAGCATGAAGAAGTAGAAGGCGGAGTCTGCCGTTGTGCTGCAAGAGTTTCTCGAACTACGACTATTCGCTGCAGCGCGAGCTGTAGGGGTGGTTCGACCCCGTTGGCCTGTGGTCGGTGAGAAACGAGTCCCCTCCCCCGCCGGTCCTCGTCCAACCTGAACCCCAACTCAGTCGTCATGTCCCCTCCTCTTGTGACACCCGGTCCGAACAAATAGCAGCCGGAAGAAGCTCGGTGCCGAAACGTCTCCGTCGTATACTGCCCGGCTGGAATATCTCGGGTTTCCACACTGTCGTGGCATGTGGAACAGTCTGACCCCACCGAACCCACGAACCTGCCGCATGACATCAACGTCCGCGTTGCCAGCAGAAACATAGGTGCAATTCTAGGTACGCTTCTGTTCGGAAATACACATGACTACAGCAACACCTATCAATAGCAGTACGGGCCATAGAAATATACTTGTAGTCAAACCCGCAGCCGAAGAAACAGAGATGCAACACAAGCAAAGCACCCATCGTCACCGCTGGGACGCAAATCCGAGGCCAGCCGTGAATACCAGGAGGGGCCCAATCCGACCTGCTTGTCGTGGGCGTAATCATGCGTCATGTGTTACCTCGCAGGTGTTTATTCATGTTGAGTGGGTTCAGCTGGCGGCTCAAACGGCAGAGCGATAAAATGTCACACACACAGCATTTACACATCTTGTTTAGTCGAGAGCACACCTACCATCGATCGAAAAAAACTGGAGGGCGTGAGGGTCTACTGCTATCCGTTCTCAGGATGGTTGCACGGGATGGGTTCAGGTTGAACACTTGCGCCGCTCCACTGACTAGTGCAAAGCATTCTACCCGGCCTGCTGTTGCTGCTGCTTGGTCTCTTGGTCTCTCGCGCAAATTTCATGCCCATCGAATCAAGGCTTATTGTGGTGCATGCAAAGTGCCTGTGGTAGTAGCGTAGACTGCTTGCTTCTCTACGCGGGAAAGTCGGCAGCTATGAGACGATCGAATGTGGCGGGTAAGCGGTAAGCCTGCAACTCTGTCACAATCCTATGTCTAGGTTGCTGCTGGTGCTCTTCGGTGGTGTGATATGTGATACGCTGCCCACTAAATGCAGAGCGCGTGCCTCTTCCCGATGTGCATGCTGACGCCCGCGAACAGCGGAGAGACTTCATCCTTTGATTTCTTCGTCGGTGTGTGGCACCAACGCAACATATACTACAAACAATACCTCATGTACACGTGGAAAACTAGAGAACGGGGGGCGCGCATACATGTATTCGCACCTGTCCCATGCCCGTCGCTGGTACACGTACGTACCTACGCTGTTGTGCGTGGGCATCCGCACGTCAAAGGCATCGCAATATAGATTGCTGCAAGGTATGGGTCTGCTACATGGCGGCTAACGAACCCGTACACTCTATCTACCGTAGTACTGCTGTAAAACTGATGTGAAGTTTTCGTTCGGGCAAAAGGCCTCGTGTACAGCCTTCCACAATGGTTTGACGCACACGAATCTCGCCGCAGATCAATCTCCCGTGAAAGACCTTACTCACAGCGTGTTGACATGTGCTACGGTTTTCCCATCGACCGACAGCGAGATCGTGGTGTCCATGCGGTCAGGATCTCCACGTTCCACGCCAGCAGAATTATATGTGGTCCACAAGCCGCGCCACTTCCCCACATGCTGCTCTGTGTAGTCGTTCCAGTCTCGGCCAGGCGGTGACAAGGGCAGGCTGAATGCCAATACCGTAGGAAGGTGTACCAGGGCGGCGGCACCAAGAAGAACGCCTGAAAGCTCCTGTGGAGAGAAAAATATCGTCATGAAACCCGTCGTTGTTCGATGTCGGCGGGGGGTGTCTGCATAAGTAATGGTGTATTTGCGGATAGCGGTCAAAGGCGCCAAATTCCCAGTGTTCTTGAGGGAAAGGAGCTGCTAAGTACGTTTCGCATTTGAATATGACGGCATGCTCATGAGAGGAACTCTCGCCGTTGACGCACCCTGTCGAAACACCGTGCGTGCTCCATACTGCAACACCCGCCACTCACTTCTTCGGAATGAATTCGGGGTGTTAAGATGTTGAGAGAAAACCTTGAGAACTTGATCAAAACACCAGGGATCAAATTTCCAGCCGTGCACTTCGAGTCCTACTGTGGCACTACGGACACATAGGTGTCAGAGAAAATGAGAAATGAACCTCAAGGTGTTTCAGGGGCTGTGGACTGTGGACCCTAAATTGCAGCGGGAAAACCAACCAACCGCCATCAAGTTTGCTATTCTAAACGTGCTACACAAGCTGCCAGTTACAGGGCCACCGCTGTAGTGATCTTGGAATATTGAGTCGTCGAGCCAGCCGATTAGACTAGTCTACAGTTAGCCCTGCGCGTGACCCCCCTTTTTGGTGTATGCGTGTGGTCGGGCTGCTGGTCGAAAAACCACAAAAATAAAGTTTTTCCGCTTTTCAGGTCGCCGGCGCCAAATCTTGTTTTGACTTGATATTAAAGATCGAGAGAAGAACGCGAAATACTCGATGCCACAAACGAGCTGGCTCTTGCGGTTCAGTACACACCTGTTAACAGGACATATCTATGGATTCATCGGTCAGTTTTTCAATCGGCGGGTTCTAACCCACCGAACACTCTAAGAACAAGTGATTTTCGGCCCTTTTCGCCTGCTGCCACGAACGTGAGCAACTTCAACGCAAATCGCCACCGATGCAATCGTAGCTCTCCTTCTCAGCAAAGTGCCGCAAAAAGCCACGCTGGAATCCACTGCGTCATCGTCGCGCAAAACGAATCCCCAGATCGGGTACTCATCGGGTACTCATGGGTACGTCTGGGAAGAAAAAGCCGCCGGACTCGAGGAAAAAACAAAGCAAAAGTTCTCGAGACAAAACGAGATATGTGTCGAAAAACATGGTATGACCATGGAGGCCAGAGCGTCGCAAGCAAGGTTCGACGGTCTGGTGAGGAGGGCAGACGTCAAGGAGTTGACACGGAGCCGCGACGCCGCAACGGCGAAAGCTGACGCCGCCCGCGTACAAAAGAACAAGGCGAACGCGGCAAAGAGAAAGGC